TCCTAGTGGCCCTTCTCTGCACTCGTTCCAATTTGAGTTCATCTTTTTTAAACATGGGAGACCACTTCTGAAAGGTTGCCGACCCCTGCTCTACAGCATGAGCTAAAAGCCAACTGTTAGCTAAGGCTGTAGAGCAGACTCATTTTATCTCTCTCTTTAAGTGGTCTCTGTGCCACTTGATGGGACCGAACACCACACCCAGAAGGTGTGTGGGTTACATTTACATTAATTTTTTTCCACAAAAAAGTTCAGATTTTATTTTGTTTGTTTAAATTAAATGTTTGAGGCGGATGCTCTAAACGAGAGAGAGAGAGGCCAGAGACAATTTATTACAGCATTTTGGAAATAGGACCTTAGGGCAGTATGAACTTTCCTCATTTCAAATAATCTCTAATTTAAAAAAAACTTAAACTAAAGCTGAGACACAGTAACACTTGCCTACCTTAGAGACATGTTTGAGAATTAAATGGTTCTACTCGGAAATGTGTCTCTGTAAAAATGGGACTAGATGAGTTGCATAGGTTTCATTTTATAACAGACAGCCCTTTGCTTCTTTCTTCTCACTCATTCATTATCAACAGTAATAAAAATTATGCAGGCCTATATCTGCCCTTAGTTACACTTATGCAACCCCCACAATACTCAAATTATGCCCTCAGTGACACCTCTATATCTCCATTTCCTTCCTGGTTTGCACTGGCGTAACTTAGTAAACAACCCTGTTCCTGTTGCACGAGGAATTGAATCAAACACACTCTCTCTTAGTTGGCTCTGCAGATCCAACAGGAATAAAAAACAGTAAAAAAATATGTTAATATCTTACTCTTAACACACATGGGATAGATCAGCGAGAGTAAGACTGTTCCATTTTTACAATCGCTTTTCAGAGAAGCAGCACACTTTAAAGAACTTTCAGATTAAAGACGATATAAAAGTGTAAAGTATTATCACAATATCATGAGCCAAATGTATTGAAGAGTAAGTGTAACAGGGGTATTCAGCACACAGTTGATTTCAGACATGCATGCGAAATGCCTTCATCTTTATCGTTTAGCACACAATCCTACAAGTCAATAATTTTCTTAATACTCTAACTGGCCACTTTCAAGACATCACACTCCCTCACAAAACTAATCAATGCATTTTAATAATTTTTGCAAAGTTTCACCTATAAATTAGGGCCCAGTACTGGGAATATACTGAGTCAGCTCCTATTAAAATCAGGCTCAGGCTAACAGAGGGTTCCAAGTGTCCCAATTCTCCCTGATGATTTCAGTAACTTAACAGCAGATTAAATATATTTTAGTTTATTCCAAGACAAAGTTAAATATTAACACGATCAATTCTAACATTTTTGTTTTATTTCTGTATTTGTGGGAATGACTGCTAAAGGATTTTTCTTAGTGGTTTTAACTTTAAAGAAGAGTTAAAAATTTCTACCTGAGTTGAGAAATGCAATTATTCAAAAGCAATTTTTCTATGACCTAAATTAAAAAACTAAATAAACTGCTGTTGGAGCTACAAAACAAATGTTACCATATCTCTTTCCAACTTTCCTTCTACACAAGCAAAAACACTCTGTTTTCAAACTACAGAACATTTAAAATAGACGTTGCAGATTCTGAGGTGGGAGGGGGGGAATCTCTCTTTACCACGTAAGTATTCAATGACATGATCTTAGGCACCTGACTTTCTTGTCCAAATCAGAAACACTGGACCAAATACAGTATTATTTTACAATATAGCATGGGGGCAATCTACATTTTTCAGACCAGTCTCCCACAAATCACAAAAGTGCATTGATATCTATGAAATGACTGATTGAATGGCAGTTCCTTGTAACACTAAAATCTTAAAACCACAGAACCCACAGAGGTCCAAACAACCTATCAAGCTATTTAGCATTCTTTCATGTCACATCACATGTAAAATAACTTAAATATGGAAAGAGATGTTACTTTCAGAACTTGAAAGTAAGAATCAATTTAATAGCCCTTGCTTGCTGACGTGAAGGCACTGTACTGTACAAATCTCAGGATGGCAGAGAAATTCAGAGGAGGACAAATTGTTCCATGTTGCCTTGTTAGAAAATACCAGTCCAGATGGTGGCACGTTGAGTTTGCCAAAATCAGAAAGACATATCATTTCTTTAACATAAAACATTAAAAACAAAATTTCTTCTGCTTTGTTACATCTGGGTCCTATTTCTTAGGCCTGGTCTACACTAGGAGGTTATGTCGAATTTAGCAGCGTTAAATCGAATTAACTCTGCACCCGTCCACACAACAAAGCTATTTAGTTCGACATAGAGGTCTCTTAAATTTGACTTCTGTACTCCTCCACAACGAGGGGAGTAGCGCTAAATTCGACATGGCCATGTCGAATTCGGGCAGGTGTGGATGGAAATCGACGCTAATAGCTCCGGGAGCTATCCCACAGTGCACCACTCTGTTGACGCTCTGGACAGCAGTCCGAGCTTGGATGCTCTGACCAGCCACACAGGAAAAGCCCCAGGAAAATTTGAATTCCTTTTCCTGTCTGGGCAGTTTGAATCTCATTTCCTGTTTGGACATCGTGGCGAGCTCAGCAGCACTGGCAACGATGCAGAGCTCTCCAGCAGAGATGGCCATGCAATCTCAGAATAGAAAGAGGGCCCGAGCGTGGACTGATCGGGAAGTCTTGGATCTGATCATTGTGTGGGGCGATGAGTCCGTGCTTTCAGAGCTGCGATCAAAAAGACGGAATGCAAAGATCTACGAGAAGATCTCAAAAGCCATGTCAGAGAGAGGATACAGCCGGGATGCAACGCAGTGCCGCGTGAAAATCAAGAAGCTGAGACAAGGGTACCAGAAGACCAAAGAGGCAAATGGACGCTCCAGATCCCAGCCCCAGACATGCCGTTTCTACGAGGCACTGAATTCCATCCTAGGTGCGGCCGCCACCACTACCCCACCACTGACCATGGACTCTGAGGATGGGATATTGTCGACGCCCGCTTCCTCGGAGAGGTTAGCGGACGGGGAAGATGAGGAAGGAGATGAGGAGAACGAGGCAGTCGACAGCGCTTACAACGCTGATTTCCCAGACAGCCAGGAACTCTTCATCACCCTCACCGAGAACCCCTACCAACCGTCGCCAGGCGTTAACCCGGACCCAGAATCAGGGGAAGGATCAGTAGGTAAGTGTTATAAACATGTAAAGATTTATTTTGAACAGAACATTAATATTAACAGTGGGTTTTTCATGATTACTTTGCCCTAGGCGCTTAAAGTTTTAGTCTTTGATAGTGCAACTACTGCCAAAAAATCTAAATGTCCGGTTTATCATGATTGGTTTGCCCTAGGCGCTCTACTATTTAGTCCTTGCCAGTGCAGCTACAGTAAAATTCGGTCTATATGTCCGGGGATAGAGCTGAAATCCTCATGGGACATCTCCATGAAGCTCTCCTGGAGGTAATTGGAAAGCCTTTGCATGAGGTTCCTTGGGAGAGCAGCCTTGTTGTGTCCTCCATAGTAGGAAACGTTCCTGCACCATGCTAGCAGCAAGTACTCCGGGATCATTGCCTTGCAGAGCATGGCAGCATACGGCCCTGGTCTTTGCAGGCTTTCACGAAGCATGCGTTCTCTGTCGCTCTCTGAAATCCGCATCAGAGTGATGTCGCTCATGGTGACCTGCTTTGAATTAGGGGAATGTTAGTATTGGGACT